TATTTTAATTTCCAAATCATCAGTTTATTTAATCTTCAAATTTTGGTAAAAAGAAATTAATGCCTGACTTTTACACACAGACACATGTATATATATAGAATATACAGTACAGGGTGACAATTCAATATGTATATATAATGTATAATGAGCAAATAGTTAATTAACATTTCCCACTCCTTAAAATGTATCATTTTTCTGTGTTGGGAACCTTCAAACTTGTCTCTGCTAGTTCTTCATGGAATGAATTGTTATGAATGTATCGATAGCCAATGGTGCTATAGAACATGGGACCTTATTCCTACTCTGTGTGTGGCATTTTAGTACCTGTGACCCACCTTCCATCTGTCTCCCTGCTCTTACCTTTCCTAATCTTAGTGACCGCTTTTGTCTCCACTTATATGAAGTCAGCTTTTGTAACTTACACTAAACTACTGTTTTTAAATTAAACAATCTGACTTCTGGGAGAACATGGTGGATAGATAACAGCAGTTTGGAGGCTCTCTAAGATAGCCAGCTTAGATTCCAGGAATGGTGCAGTGTGGGGAGTCCTAAGCAAGGGGAGATACACCCTGCCGACCCAGGAATGAACTAAGTTGAGAGAAACCAACTGGAAATGCAATCCCCTTGCTTCAACTGGAACAGCTCAAGTTGCTGGAACCCGCACCTCTGGAAGCTGTGATTTGAATTTCCTGCTGCTGCCAGCCGCATCTGAATTGGCACAGCAGGGATAGAAACGCAAAAGCTCTGAGAGCAGAATCGGAATCGGCAAACCAAATTGAGAGCAAAGCTGGTAGGGAGCCCTGCATTGACCTGTGGTGAGTGAAAGAAACAGGGACTCTTCCATAGACTAGGAGGCTCCAACAGAGGACATTCTGGGACCAGGCAGACTAGCAGAACAGGATGCTGCAGTGACTTCAGTCACATATTCCCCTCTCAAGCAGGATTGGTGGGAAGTGCTTGACTTGGGTGATGCCACGGACTAGGACCCAATAGGCTAGCCCCAACCAGGTCCCTGAGACTGACAGTGCACCCTAATGCAGTGAAGCCTTCAGCAGGTTGACTGACCTGGAGGGGCAGGCCCAGCATAGGCTGCCCACGTCTATGTCTCCTTAGTAGACTGCAGTGGGCAGGAACACCTAGCTGGTGCGATTCAAACAAATTGCAACCAACAAAGAAAGAAACTGGGCCTCCAATATACGCTTGTATGGAAGGAACAAAAAGTATGCAAAGAGGGAGCAACAAGAAAGGGTCCTCAGTCCCCAATCCTGAGAACACTGATCCAGGAAAAGTAAATGCAAAGGAGAATGAGGACAGAAAACACTCAATATGAGACATGGCACCAATAGACATAAAGCGATATCTCTGGAGCCTCATAGACGAATTCAAAAGTGAAGTATTTAACAAAATAAAGCAAGATATAGGTAGAATAGTTAGAGAAATGCTAAGCACTGCCCAAGAAAAAACAGATGGTGGGATGGAGGAACAGAAAAAAAGGGGAGAATTGTTTGATGGAGAAAATAGAGAAAACGTAGAACATATGAAGCAGGTTCAAAGAGATTACCAGGAAACTAAAAACTCTATTGAAAGCTGACATAACAGCTTGAAAGAAACTAAGGATAGATTATCTGAACTGGAGGACAGATTTTTAAGGTGGGAGCATGAAAGGAAAAACTTCTTAAAAACAACAAGGAAACAAGCAGTACCAACACAAAGGCTAGAAGATGATAAGAGGATCTATAACTTAAGAATTAATAATGTAAAGGAAGAAGCAGAGATACAAACAAATGAACTGCAAAGGCTATTCACAGAGATAATCAAGGAGAACTTCCTTTAATATGGGAAAGGGTAAAGATACTCAGATGTATGAGGCATACAGGACCCCAGCCACCTACAACCCAAACAGAACTACACCCAGGCATATAATAATCAAAATTTCAGAAATCCAATATAAGAACAGAATATTAAAAGCTGTCAGAGACAAGAAACAGATCACTTACAAGGGAACACCCATCAGAATTACAGCAGATTTCTCAGCACAAACCATCAAATCATGAAGAGCATGGGGGGAAATAATTCAAGCTTTGAAAGACAATAACCTCCAGCCAAGATTGATATGTCCTGCACAACTGTCCCTAGAAATTAATGGAGAAACAAGGTGCTTCCAGGATAAAGAGGAACTAGGGGAATTTGCAACCAACAATACAACTCTACAGAGAATACTGCAGGACATTCTAAAAGAAAACAATACCAAGATTCCAGAAACAGTGGCAGAGAGGCCACAATGAATGGAGCAGAAAGTGAAATGAAGAAGACAAACTGACAACTAATGACAGAAAAAGAGCTCAGCAGAAATGAGGCAGAGAAGGTTGGATGGTATGAACAGCTATTTTGGAGAAAACAAGATATCATAATAGCTAGTGCTGATTTAATATCATCTTATTTTGAAGTCCCATCAAGCTTTTGTTCTTCTGTCTCTATTGGTCTTAACATGTTGTATCTTATTGTATTTTATTATAAGCGACAATATAAACAAAAACTTCTATAGACAAGGAGCTAATACAGAAACCATTGTTCATTTTCTGTTAGTTGGTCCTAAATACCCTGTAATACTGTCATTCTCTTGAATGGTTTTACATTGTCTTGATATGTTTGATGCTACAGTATACAAAGTTATACTCAAAGATTTCAAGGAAAGAGACACTATGGTAACTACTTTTATGTTGGGATATCTTATGATAAAACACTATTTTACTTAAATGGTTATGTTCTGACCTGTGCTGTTTTGTTGTTATGTCCTTTTTTTTAATCTCAATCTCATTTTTTATTATTTTTTTATTTTTATCTTTTTAATTAAGGGAAAAAATAAAAAATAATAGGATATATTATAGTAACCCACTTTGATTTCCTATTAACTTGATTTGAAACCCTGTATTGCTCTCACTTGTTTTGACTGATTTTTACTCTATTCTGTTTTGCTTGATAGTACCAAGTTTGAGAGTATAGGCAACAACTGTGAAGACAATAAGATTAACTATGATGCCCGTTCTGGTTTGACTATTATCTTCTTTTGAAATCCTGTAATGTCTCCAATGTTTTGGTTTTATTGGTTTTGTTCTTTACTATTTTGTTCAATTTTATTATACCGGATGATATAGGCAACTCTTTTTAAGATAGCAAGAGGCATTATGGTAACCATTGTTGATCACCTTGTATTCTGTTTTTACATTATGTACTATGTCCATCCTTTTGATTTGACTGACTCTGTTTTGTTATGTCACGTTTGGTTTTATTCTCTTAAAAAAAAAAAAGTAATGAGAACTGTGGGAGTAATAAAACCCAAAATGTGTAATTGTCATTGTAAAAAAAGAGAGGAAAAGAAAGTGCTCTAAATGATATAACTGCATGTATATTTAAGCATATAAGATAGATAACCATGTTACTGAATTTTTGTTGGATCATTGAACAAACTGTTTGCAGTCTCACTGTTTGAATGTCCACTTTATATGCTTTAATTTAGTAACTTGAACAACTATTTCCTAGATGACAATATGTAATCTATTAACTAGTGGTTTCCTACTGTTTATTCTTTCTGAAATTCTGAAATTCTGTAACTTGTACCCTTTTTCTGTTTTTTTCTTTTTCTCCTTAAATACAATAAAAAAATAAACTAAACAATTTTTTTTTTTAAAAAGTGCCCCTTTTCTACTACTGTAATCTGTTTGGTCATATTTTTGTTGAGTGTTTCATTAAATGTATGTTTCAGTGAAGGCATAAATATGTAAATTTTTTTATATTCTCTTTTTCCATTACACATTTTTTTCCATTTTTAATGTGTAATTCCATCTTATTTCTCCATTCCCTATCTTAATTCTAGTGAGTTGTGCCATGTGGTACAGTATCATAGTAAAAGGATAATACATCTTTCTAAGAAGTTTTTAACTTTGGCCTTTTTTGAGAGTGTTGGCAGTAGGATGGTCACTTGGGTTTTAACCAATGTGACAGTCAGTGGCTTTTACCAACAGGATGGTCAGTGGCTTCATGGAAGCTCTTCTGTGACTTGTGGGGGTAGAAATTAATATTGATTCAAAATTAAGCTAATTAAATCATACTGTCTTCCTTTTATTAAGTGGAACCCTAGCAGAAGTTTCTTTCACAGCCATATGATAAATTTTAAAGGATTTGGTGACACACGGGATGCTGTTCAGTGGTAGGGAACCATAGTAGCTTTTGGTTAGTTTGTAAAATGGTCTGGGAAAGAAAAGAAATACAGTGTTTTCTGAAAATAAAAATGTCTAATGTTCTAGTTTTCACAAGACCTTAAGCAATGTTTTTGACATTATTTTAGTAGTATGTAGGTAAGCTGAGTAGGAAAACTCTAATTTCATAGATTCTGATTTCTGCTGTTTACCAAGACTGCTAACAGTAAAAAGCAAAACAGTCATTTTTACCTTTGTATGAACCTTTCAGACTTGAATCGTTTCACTTGACTTTTTGTGAAGTAACATTTTTAAAAATCTGAATTTTTGGGGCTGGGGATTTAGCTCAGCGGCATAAGTGCCTGCTTGCAAGCAGGCAGTCGTGAGTTCGATCCCCGGTACCGATAAAAAAGGAAAAAGACAAAAAAAAAAAAAAAAAATCTGAATTTTTACATAGTGACATAACCACAAAACAGGAAGCAAAAGACAAATTAATAATTTCTACTAACATATATGTTGGCAAAAGATTAAGTATTTTTCCTGCACAACCTCAAACTGCTTATTGAGATGAGAAATGACTGTGATCTGTTTTATTGTTAATAAAGGCAGTAGTATATTTTCACTTTCTTATTATTCCTGCTCTGAAATTCATGTTTATATTAGTAGTGGCAGAAACACAGCACAATAGTTTATTAAATTTTAGTTTTGAAATAAGCTATATATTTTACAAACCTAATTTAATCTATAAATAAAAATACCTTCTATAAATATTTTTTAAAATTTAAACAATGTTTTTGTAAACAGGTTTCAATAATCCAGGAACTTGTTACTAATTATGAAGCCTCTCTTAAAACATGTGGCTTTTTTAGCCCTTATGGTAAGTTTAAATTAGACTGACTTGGAATTTGATTACTCATTTCAATCCATTTTTAATCGGAATAGCACTGCTTTATGTTGCTACCTAAGAGCTGCTTATTATTTTTGAATTAAAATCAAATGAGAGAACTTTCAATCTTATTTAATCTAAATTTTCCATAATCCTGTACAGTGGGAATTAGCCTTATTTTAACACAAAGAAGCCCAAAGAAACATTTGGCTTAATTAAAATCTTGTTGTCCTGAGTCTCTGTAAATTCTCTACTTTTTCTAGTATTTTAATTTCTGGTCCTTTGTTTCTCTGATTGTGGGGGCATGCATAAATCAAGGCCCTTTAATTTAGAAGACCTTTTAGAATGTTTTCGGCCTTGCAGATAGTAACTTTAGTCTGGGTCCTTCATGTGTCTTTCCATGTCATTACCCTTTAGATATTTTCAAGAGAAATTCCAGACAGGAAAGAGCTCTTACTACTGACTTGTATGTTTGTTTCTACATGTATTTTGACTAGAGATGACTAAAAGTCCTCAGTAGAATCCAATAGTTTGTTAAAGTATGATCAATATGCTATCTTTTATTGGCTAATAAAAATTATTAGCCATCCTGGTAGTTGGGCAAATTTAGTGGCTAAGTCCCCAGTTGCCTGTTTGAGGGGCACACTGAAGGATGAAGAAAAAACAAATTTAGTCATACATCAAAGGGTGACTGGGAGGTCAATGCCTCTGGATGGACAATGACAGTAACACTGAGGTAGCCACTATGTGTTGGGTATATGCAGTAATAAGGGGCATTGTTAGATAACTCAGAGGGCAGTGGTGGTCTTAAACGCATAAAGAAATTACCTTGGAGCTTCTATAGTCTTAGTAGCCTTATCATTTTAGTCTTAGTAGGTGGGAGAGGATGGCCCACCCCAATGAGATAATGAGAAATCTCAAAAGGTAAAGTTAGCCATTATGGGTTTGTATTTTTATGTGTAAAGTTGTGCTTATATCCCAAACTCTATGGCTCCCTAGTGATCTGTGACAGCTTTTAGTTCTTTTACATTATCTTACTTCAGAGCTATTTACTTTCTATGTATACGTAATTTCTTTTTCTTTTTTATAAAGAGGCATAAAGAGGTTTATTAGGAAATTAAAGGACCCTCGAGAGAGAGGCACATTGTAGTACGGAGCTGAAAATACATGTTTTTGGCAGTCTATGGAATCTATGGAATTTGTGAATTTATGGAAAGTTTAGACTTGGTTTATAGGATGTAGAAGTAATTTCTTTGTACTACTAGTCTCTAACATTCTGCAATTAAATTATTAAAATTTTTTTTATTTGTACTGCATAATGATTACATTTATTTCATACGTTATCATGTACGTAACACACCTTAATTCCTTTTATTATCCCTTTCTCTTTCTTCTCCCTTCCCTGTTGGGAATTAATTTCTCTGATATTATTGAAGTAAATATCCGTTCCTTTCCTGTCCCTCCTTCGCATTTCTTTTTTATTCTTTTCCACATAGACTTTTTGCTATATTATGAAAGTAATGCATGTTTATGGTTAAACGTATAAGTAGACTAATATAATTCAAAGCTTAGAAACAGAGCCTCGTATTTTTGGAAACTTATAATATAGCTAGAAGGTGCTTTTAAACTTAGAGATGAAACGGCATTGCTGGGACCATTAGTTACTTAGGCTGAAAACAAACTGAACAGCATCCCTGTCTCTCACTGCACACAAATGAATTTCAGGTAGATTAAAGATCTATATACTGAGAACAAACCTTTGCGACTTTTGAAAGAAAACATAGAACTTTGTCTCAAGGCTAAGGAAACGTGTTTTATGTTTGAGATAAAAGCATTGCTGCCTCCTTCCTCCTCTTCCTCCCAGCCTCCACTTTTTAAAATTAATGTGTGATAATTTTACACATTAATGGGGCTCAGTGTGATGTTTCCATACATCCGTACAATGTGAGCTGAGCAGATCCAAACACCCTGTAAGCATTCGTTAAGGTATTAAAAGTATGACTGAAATTAAGTAGTTTGTTAAAATTTATGTATAACAAAAGAACCAAAGCAAAGCGAGAAAAGAATTGAAGATATTTTCAACCCGTGATGATAAAGAACTCTGAATAATTCACTGAAATAATTATGCAGTACATGGTAAATGTGATATTGAGGCGTAATAAGGAAATCATGTTTACAAGTTTGATTTCTAGGTTTTAATGAAGATGCTTCACAGTAAAAATTTATATCTTCAAAATGCATGTTATGTGCAAAGTAGAGGGCGTTAGTGATATTGTTTGCCATTAAGTTTTTGTTCCTGCTAGTCCTGAGATGTTAAGATATTGCTGATGTGGTTCCAGTTCACCCTCTTAAATGTTAAGTAAATTCTAGGTGTCTCAGTGTTTAGAAAAATCCTTTATAATTTAGAAGCCACAGAATAACTTGATCTTGTATTTTAAAAATTTTAACTGCTTGGGAAAGTGATGTTTTAGAAACATAAATAAATATATGGCAGTAAAAATGCAACAAGAAAAAAGATGAGACACTACAAATGTGGCCAGAAGATACAAATAATTAGTTTGTAGAAGTGAAGAATGGAATGGAAACAAAAAGAATGTCCTTGCTTGTAACCAGCAAAATCAAATTAAAACAATAGGGTAGCACTGTATCCATCAAATATGCTGAACTTTAAGTCTGACATGACTAGATACTGACAAATGACTTTGACATACATACCTGTGCACTCATGTGTTCTCAAGTTTTATTAAAGGCTGTACATTTAGAACATTTGGCTTTTGTTTCTTAGAAAAAAGATTTTCTTGTTAGGTGTGGTGGTGCATGCCTGTAATCCCAGCATTTGGGAGGCTAAAGCAGGAGGATTTCTGTGAGTCCTAGTTCAAGAACAGCCTGGGCTACATAGTAAGACCCTGTCTTAAAAAAACACACAAGATTTTCTTATATGAGCTAGCCTGACACTTGGTATATACAGTAATGGTAGTAATTTATCACTTACAAGAAGAAACAGAAAAGTAGATTTAATACTTAAGTACTGAGCTAAGTACTTTTTATGATCATAATAATACTATGTACTATTACATCCTTCTCCCCATATCATAGTTAAGGAAATGTTTAGAGAGATCAAGCCCCATGCAGGTTGCAGATCAAATTATTCGTTGGGAGTCAGGATTCTGCATTGGGAATATTTGATTTGAAAACCTATGTTCTTTGCATTAAACCTGGCTGGAATTGTGTAATATTAGCAGAAACTGCACCAACTGGTGTTTCTAAAACTCAGCTGCCTTGGGAACAGTAGCATATGCAAAACAGCATAGGTTATGTTGGGAGAGAGAATTAATGACAATAATGGGCTTTAAAGGGAAGAAATACTATTGGAGAAATAGTAATGCTGTTTATGCTCATGTAACACTTAGGTTCTGATATTTTACAGCAGGGTAATTGAAGCTCTGAAGAGGATTATTGGTCATACTGTAAATGGTGCTATTAGGGTTCAAACTCTTCTGATATCCTTTCTATCACGGTTATAAAGATTAGAAGAGAATATGAGTAAAAAAATGAATAAATGAAAATGAACTTTTAAAAACATTTAGGTTTTTAGAGTGCTATCTGGAAGGCTGAGGTAGGGATTAGAAATAAAGTACAGTGGACTGGAGATACAGCTCAGTGGTACAAGCGTCTGCCTGGCAAGTGCTAGGTCTTGAGTTCAATTGTTGGTACCAAGAAATAAAGTGCAATTAAAATTGCATACAGTTCAAGACTTACTATGTTAAATAAATCCATTGCTTTACAAGCAAAATCCAAAACTGGGCTTGATGGTACACTACCCATAATCTCGGTGCCCTGGGAGGCTAACGTGGGATAAAATTATCATTAAGTCTGAATTAATAAAAATTTTAATTTTTCTGTTCTTGTGAATCAAACCTAGGGACAGTCAACTACTGAGCTACACCCTCAGCCCTTTCTATGTTTTGCTTTGAGATAGTCTTGCTAACTTATTTAGTTTGGCCTCAAATCCTTCTGGTGGTGAGAAGTTTCCTGCTTCAGTCTCCCTAATTGCTGGGATTATAAGTATGTGCCTCCGCACCTGACTGTAACTATTAACAATTTCAGTTATTTGGTTTTGTTAGCACACTGCAGCTGAGATCACAAAATAAGAGTTGTCATGAAGCAGGAGATGCTGTTTGAAGCAGACATACAGGCACAGAAAAAGTGACAACAGACAGCTGACTAGGAGAGGCTGGAGAACTGTAAAATGTGATTGGAATTATTACTAAGTGAGCAAACACAATGTTGGGTAGACATAGTGGCAATCCTGAGTCAGCAAGGAAAGGTCACGTGGAAAGAAAAGGAAAGAGGAAGGAGAAGAAGAAGGAACAAAGACAGGTAGTGCTTCGTAAAATTATTGTTTGTCTTTTTCCGTTTTATTGGTACCGAGGATCGAACTCACGACTGCCTGCTTGCAAGACAGGCAATTATGCCGCTGAGTTAAATCTCCATCCCTGGTAAGCTTAGTTTTTTATTTGTTTGTTTGGTCTTTTTGAGACAGAGTCTCACTATGCTGTGCACAAGCTGGCCCTGAACTCACGTTGCAGCCAGGCTGGCCTGGAACTCTCAATGATCCTCCTGCTTCAGCCTCCAGAGTACGGGGATTTCAGATGTGCGCTACCACACTTGGCTAAAACTAAGCTCTACTGATCTGGGGTCTTTCCTGCATTAAGTGTAGAATCACAAATATGTACTAATAAAAATTTTTAGAAACAGCTATAGGGCTTGTAATTTTTGACTTAGAAGCTTTAGGAAACTCATTAATACATTTGCTAATTGTTAATTGTTACAATAATACATGTAGCCTTATCTTGAGATTTTTAGGGTGTTTTATTGTTTGCTTGTTATAGTTACAAATCCCTCCTTACATTTTAGGAGGGAGTATCTTCCATGGAAAATCTAAATGAAATGCCATGTATGTGGTTCCAGACAGAATGATTTCAGCTTATCAGTGGTTGGGGAGACACAGAGATGCCTTAAAAAAATGCCATGAAGTAGAAAGAGTAAATTGTTAGGGCTTCAACTTCATTTTCCTCCAATAAGATGGTGGGAAAAGCACCCATGTAGATTTCTACACAGAATTTAGTAACTACGTTGACAGCTTCTTTGTATCTGTAATACACCAAACATTCAATATTTGTATGCATACAGGTTTTTTTTAAAAGTCCTGGAATAGTTTTGCTTTTGACATTCCTGTATATTTTCAACTCAGGAAAGAAGGAAAAAGGTTAATTTAATAAACTTAATGCTATTACCATAACTCAAAATTTCTGTTCCCTGATGGAGCAGTTCTATGCTCATCACTAGCCGAGGAGGACACACAGCTGATGGCAACTTCTTGCCCCTTTAAAATGTCAGGATCTGGTTCACAGTCAGCCTCTCTCCAGGCGTCTTCCCAGGATATTTGTTCTTATGTCCAGTATTTTGTGTAGCAATGTGTGGCCAGTTTGCAAGCATATTTTATTACTTGTTTTTAGAATCGTGTGTGATGTGCCTTAGAAAGGAGACTTTTCCTTCGCGTGAATTTTTGTTTTCTTGTTCTTTGTCATCTCTGAAGCTCTCTCCCTCCAAAAAGGAAAACCACAAACGTACCCCTGAGGCAGCCCTCAGTTGTGGGGCACCACCACTGCTGACGCAGTGTAGGACCACAGGCGGCATCAGGTGAGCCAGATGTCTGCCCTGTGGCAGTCACTCTGGCCTTCCTCCCGTAGGAAACTTGTGATATTACCTAGAAAGAAGGCTGTATCTTGTGGTTTTTGACGGGAGCTGGAAGTGGGGTAATTCTTTAAAAACCTACCTAGAAATAACCTCTGGGTCTTTTTTCTTTCCTGCCTTTTGCTTGGGAAATACAAAGTCCTTGACTCATATGGGAAATAGACCTAAGAAATCCAAGTTTACATCAGGCTCTCTTATTTCTGATAAAACTGTATAATGCTAGCTTGTTTTTTTTTTTTTTTTTTTTGTCTTTTTCATTTTTATCGGTACTGGGGATCGAACTCACAACCGCCTGCTTGCAAGGCAGGTGCTTATGCCGCTGAGCTAAATCCCCAGCCCCAATGCTAGCTTGTTTTGACACTTCTAGATGACCTCTTTAAAAATATTATACTTGTTATTAAGGAAAGATACCTTTTTTATTAACCAAGATGTAAAAGTTATATTTTTTTATTAACCAAGATGTTCTCAGTGAGAGGTAAATTGCTTTGGAATAAAGAAGTGCTAGGCATTTATAGATAGTAATTTTAGCAGGTTATAACCAAAATTTCATTTAAGTGAAATTTGAATGTTCTGAGGATCAACTATAATAATGAACTTCTTGAACTTAGATGGCTTCCCTCAAACATTAATGTCTCTATTTGCTTTATTCTGATATTTTTTGAGAATTGGTAGATTAAATGGATCTTCTAATTATCAAATTTCACTTAGATGATGCTTGCCCTTAGGTCTGTTGTGACTTTGGCTCTGTGGCATGGAATAAATTCTATGCCAGATAAGCTACTTTAGTTCAAGACATAATTTAATTGGTAGACAGCATTTATGAAGAAAAATGTTACAGAAAATCATTGGCTACAAAGATCAAAATATAGCAGAAATCACCATTTGGACATGTTATGTAATTATTGCTATAAATTTTAATTTTATTTACAGTTTGCTGTTGCCATTTGCTATTAGCATGGAGGAAGGGCTACAAACAAAACAAGAAACCCTTTTATGACACTTTTAAGCTACTCTTTTTATAAAGAATATATCTATATTAAAAGTCAGATTTAACTCTTAGGATTAATATGTATATTTTGCATATGTGGTTGTATGTAGATACGTGTTTACTACAAATAGGATTAATAAACATTTATTGATGAACGCCTTAATGTTTCTTAAATTAATTTCCAGTAAAATTAGGATAATCTTAAAAATTATTATGTCATTTGGATGGTTCAGGAATAATTAATTGCAAAATTGAAAGATTCTAATAAGTATTTCCATGTTATTGTATGCTTAGGTTTTAAATATGTTAATAAGGAAACAGATGTTTCAAAAAAATGAACTTGGTAGTTTACCTTCTAAGTAGAATTGAGAAATAAGTTCAAATAAAGGATATTTTTTTTGCCTTTAAGAATTCATTCAAGAGTTCCTTCATTGAAGGCAGTTTTAGCTATAGTACATATTATTGTGAGCTCTTAGTAATTAGACTTAAAATACTGGAATTTCAGAATGGTCCACAAAATACTTTTTCTGTGTTAATCTTACCCTTCTGAATTTTAAGATTATGTGTAAAGGTTATATAGTCCAACCCAGTCTGACATTTGAAACTTGAGTTTTATGAAAAGCAAACACTTAGTTTAGGATATTGGCTATAAACATGTTCAGAATAATATCTTAAACTCTTTTATCTTTCAAGAATTAAATTTTTCCCTTTTGATGTCTCATTACTTAGCTTTATAACATTTGAGCTATGATATATATATGTATATGTATAACTGTGAAAAGATCTAGGATTTTGACAATCACTATCAAATTGACATGTGCTTTATTTTTTAATTTTTATTTATTTTTTTTCTTCATTTTTATCAGTACCAGGGATCGAACTCACGACTGCCTGCTGCAGGCAGGCGCTTATGCCGCTGAGCTAAATCCCCAGCCCCGACATGTGCTTTATAATAACAGATTCTCTATAAAAGAAATAAGGTTGCTATTCCTGTAGTTGATCTGGTTTTTTGTTTGTTTTGTTTTTGAGACAGAGTCTCATGCAGTTCACTCTGGCCTTAAATTCCTTGTGTAATCCAGGTTGGTCTCAAATTTTTGACAATTTTCCTGCCTCAACCTCCCAAGTGCTGGATTACAGGTGTGCACACCAAGCCTAGGTGATCTGGTTTTCATTTTCAAGTCTAGAGATTTTTGTTGCTTGTTTGTATGTAGGCTTTTACGAGTCTCATCTAGGAATTATGAGAAGTGATAGACAGGAAAGTATAATCTAGAAAAGGGGGATTAATATGGAATTCCCAAAGAAAATCACACTGTGAAAGTGTGAGTGGCTTTTCTTAATTCTGTGATGACTTGAGTTATTTTGAGTCAGGCCTAACTTTGACAGCTTCACCTACCTCTTCCCTCATTTTTTAAAATATATGTAGAGAGAACTAGTGTTTAAAATGAAGGGTAAAGAGTTAAGACCATGAATTGTATGTTAATTTGCTGTATGTTGTGATTTGGATACCAAGTTTTCTATAGTGAGCTAATAAGTGTCCTTACAGTGCCCTTTGTGTTTGTTTTCAAAATGCACAGAAACTAACTTTGTTTGCTTTATATAGAATTTTTTTTTTGTCTTTTTTCTTTTTATTGGTACCGGGGATCAAACTCATGACTGCCTGCTTGCAAGGCAGGTGCTTATGCCACTGAGCTAAATCCCCAGCCCCTATGTAGAATATTTTTGTGAGGTTTTTTGTTTGTTTTTTTGGGTACCAGGAGTCAAATGCAAGACCTTGGGCTTCTCAGGTAGGCACTTGTGCCACTGAACTATATTCCTGGCCCCAAATTTTTGTGTTTATGAAGTTGGGAGACTTTAAAAAAAATCAATCCAAAAAAACAGAAAACGAGAGCTTTATGGTAATGGAATAGTTACTGGTTGTGGTAGCGGTTGTGGTGGTCTATACAAGATAAAATCACATAGAACGATAGTGGCTCATTGTATCAGAGTCAGGTTCTTGCTTTGGGTACTACTGTTACATGAGCAGAAACCTTCGGAGGTAACAGAGAGAAGGGCGTATAGAACCTCTGTGTAGTAGCTCTGCAGCCTCTTCTGTGTTTAAAAAAGAACATTAACTCAGGATTATTTAGTTGTTTATGTTGTATTCTACAATGCACTGTTTCTTCCAAAGTAAAATTATTTCCAGTATCCTACCTCCTTTTTCTGTAGTGAATATCTACCGTGTTCTACTTTTTATGATTTAATCTAGCTGTATTTTCCCCCAGTTATTGAGGAGTGATTAACCACCCAGATTTTTCCATGAGTGAGCATGTCCCAGTGTTTGAAAACCTGGGAGAGCTTCTGGCAAACGGGGATAAGTTAGTCACCTTGTTTAAGGAAGACACTTAACTAGGGAGAGGCAGTTTATGGGCTGTTACTGATGAAGAGGCGGCTTAAAGGTTTGTGGTTCCACGTGGCTCCCTCCAAAATGTGACTTAAAATCTTTGTCCACTGTGGTTCTAGGAGTATCCTTTGAAGCTTCTCATCTTCCCTCTTAACATTTTCCTGCCTAGAAAAGTCCTGTGATTCTTAGATGTTTTCATCCCTTTCTGTGTTCCAAGACTTTTATTTTTCTCTTTTTGAGACAGGGTCTGGCTATGCAGTTCAGGCTGGCCTTGAGCTCACTTTGTAGCCCACTCGCACCGATCCTCCTGCCTCAGCCTCCAGAGTGCTGGGATTACAGGCGTGAGCCACCACGCCTGACTGTGTTTCAAGATTTTTATAACTGCCATCTTTCCTTAGTTGTATTGAATTTTTAAGATATTATAGCATTAGATGTAACGTGATGTGTATTAAGGAAAACCACGAGGCTAGGTTTTTTTGCTTTGTTTTGTTTTTTCTCTTTATAACTAAAAATAGCTTTAGCTACTTCAGGAAAAATGCGTATTCCTAAAATTCAGGTACATATTGGTTGAAAGTCCTGTAAGAATGCCAATGAGAATATTTGTATAGCTTTTTATTCACTAGAATGTTTATATTTAGGAATATTTGAAAAATGGTAACTTGGAGGCAAGTGTTTGAACTTTCATTTCTAATATCTATATAATGTTACGAATCACAAGTGTGTTTATGTGCATTATCCCTTATCTCTGACTTATTCTGAGTCTGTGATATTTGTTCTGCACATAGCTTGCAACTTGAGACTGAGAAGTATAATGTGATTTGCCTGAGGTTGTTTATTGTGTAGGAGACAGAAATGGGCTAAAGGCACTTAATTTTAACTAATGCAGCCAGGACTCACTGGTTCCTTTTTGTATATGAGGTTTTTACCCCATTATTTTTTGTTAAAAGAAAAAAAAAACAGTAACAGTGGTACAAAATTTCAAAATAAGATTGTGGGAGAGTAACAGTAGTTAGGCCATTGTGTATTATTATTTTCAAAGTAATTGCTCCTGTTACAAGCTATAAGCATGAAAAATTGATCAACGTAGGCACATACCTTTCTTTTCAATGAACGAGCATCAATTAGTTGTATAACTATCTTAACTGTTTCGTGTGTGTGTGTGTATATATATATATATATATATATATATATATATAATACGTATATTTTTCCTTGTCCTTCCCTTCTTTTCTCCTTTCCTCCATCCCAGTTTCTTTCCCTTTGAACAGCTTCCTTTCACTTCATAATATCTATTGTACATTCTAGATCTTATTTACTTTTTCAGCTTCTTACATTAGGGAGACAATAATGTTTACACATGTGACTGATTTATTTCACTTATGAATATGGTCTCAAGTTGTATCCATTTTCCTAAAAATGTCTCAAGTGTATACTTGATAGCTGAGTAGTGCTCTATTGTATAAATACGTCCTCTTTTTTATTCATTCCTTGGTTTATGGATATCTGGGTTCTTTCCAAGATTTAGCTATTAAAAATTGTGCTGCTATAAACATGAGTGCATATATATTGCTGTGGTATGATGTTTTTAATTTTTCTGGGAAGAGATCCAGAAGAGGAATAGCTGGGTCAAAAGGGACCTCTAATCCTAGCTTTTTTTGAGGAATTTCCACACTGATTTCCACAGTGACTGCATCAGTCTACATTCCCTCCAGCAGTGGAGAAGGACTGCTTTTCCTCAGAGCCCTGCCAGTGCTTGTTACAGATTTCTTGATGATCGTCATTTTTTCTGTGTTATTTTAATTTACATCTCTTGAATGACCAATTATGTTCAACATTTTTCATATATTTATTTGCCATTTGTATTCTTCACCTGAAAAGTATATTTTCATCTCAGCTGCCCATTTTTGGATTGGATCTTTTCTTTTTTTTATAAAGACAGGGTCTTGCTACGCAGTTCAGGCTGGCCTTGAACTTGCTTATGTAGCCTAGGCTGGCCTTGAAATCACAGAGGTCCTCTTGCTTCAGCCTCCCAAGTGTTGGGATTGCAGGAGTGCCCAACCCACCTGGCTAGATTGGGTCTTTGAATTTGGAGGGTCTGATGTTTTTCAGTTCTTTATATGTTCTGGATACAAGTCCTTGGCCTGAGGGACAGTTGGCTAAAAATCTTCCCCAGTCTGGGTTGTCTTTTTACTCTGTTGGTGACTTCTTTTAATGTGCAAAAGCTTTTTAATAAGATGAGATCCCAGTTGTTGATTCTTTGAAGTGTTTCCCGTTATTTTGGCAACAAATTTTGGGAAATATTTAGTTTTCTGACTTACTTAAGGTAAATCTGATATAATTATTTAAAGTGTTACTTTTTCCACAATTATGAGAAGCTTTTATAGTCTTTGTTTTTGCTGTCTGTAGTATATAACTATCAGTACTTGATACATCATTTCCTAAAGTCTGTGGGATAATTTGAAGTGGTATTATATTTTTGTTTATTTAAGGAGAAAAAAGAAAAAAAACAGAAAAAGGGTACAAGTTATACAGAATTTCAGAAAAAATAAACAGTAGGAAATCACTAGTTAATTTCATACTATCATCTTAGAAATAGTTGTTCAAGTTACAAAATTAAAGCATATAGATGGGACTTTCAAACAGTGAGACTGCAAACAGTTTTGTTCAATGATCCAACAAAACTCAGTAATATGGTTATGTATCTTATACACTTAAATATACATGCAGTTATATCCTTTAGAGCACTTTCTTTTGTACAATGACAATTACACATTTTGGGTTTTATTACTCCCATAGTTCTTATTACTTTTTTTTTGAATAAAGTAAAACCAAATGTGACATAACAGGACAGAGTCAGTCAAATCAAAAGGATGGACATAAATATATAATGTAAAAACAAAATACAAGGTGATCAACAATGGTTACCATAATGCCTCATGCTATCTTAAAAAGAATTGCCTATATCATCAGTTATAATAAAATTGAACAAAACAGTAAAGAACAAGACCAATAAAACCAAAACATTGGAGACATTGGAGGACTTCAAAAGAAGATAATAGTCAACCAGAATGGGCATCATAGTGAATCTTATTGTCTTCATAGTTGTTGCCTATACTTTCGAACTTGCTACTATCAAGCATAACAGAATAGAGGAAAATCAGTCAAAACAAGGTGGTGAGAGCAATACAGGGTTTCAAATCAAGTTAGTAGGAAATCAATGTGGGTTACTATAATATACCCTGCTATTTTTTATTTATTTTTCCCTTAATTAAAAGGATAAAGATGAAAAAGTAGATAATAAAAAGGAGATTGAGGTAAAAAAAGAGGGCATAACAACAAAACAGTGCAGGTCAAAACATAGCCATTTAAGCAAAATAGGGTTTCACCACAAGATAATCTCGAAATAAAAGTAGTTACCATAGTGTCTCTTTCCTTAAAATCTTTGGGTATAACTTCGTATACTGTAGCATCAAGCATATCAAGACAATGTAAAACCGTTCAAGAGAATGGCAGTATTACAGGGTCTTTAGAATCAACTAACAGAAAATGAACAGTCATTTCTGTATAATCTCCTTGTCTATAAAAGTTTTTGTTTATATTATCACATATAATAAAATCCAATAAGATACAACAGGTTAAAAGTGATGGAGACAGAAGAACAAAAGCTTGATGGGACTTCAAAACTAGAGGATATTAAATCAGCACTACCTATTATGATGTCTTGTTTTCTCCAAAATGGCTGTCCCTACCATCCAACCTTCTCTGCCTCATTTCTGTTGAGCTCTTTTTCTGTCATTAATTGTCAGTTTGTGTTCTTCATTTTGCTTTCTGCTCCATTTATTGTGGCCTCTCTGCCACTGTTTCTGGAATCTTGGTATTTTTCATTTTTAGAATATCCTGCAGTAATCTCTGTAGAGTTGAATTGGTGGTTGCAGATTCCCCTAATTCCTCTTTATCCTGGAAGTACCTTGTTTTTCCATCAATTTCTAGGGACAGTTGTGCAGGATATATCAATCTTGGCTGAAGATTATTATCTGTGAAAGCTTGAATTATTTCCCCCCACGCTCTTCGTGATTTGATGGTTTGTGCAGAGAAATCTGCTGTAATTCTGATGGGTGTTCCCTTGTAAGTGATCTGTTTCTTGTCTCTGATGGCTTTTAATATTCTGTTCTTGTATTGGATTTCTGGAATTTTAATTATTATATGCCTGGGTGTTGCTCTGTTTGGGTTGTAGGTGGCTGGGGTCCTGTATGCTTCATACAACTGAGTATCTTTACCTTTTGCTAAATTAGGAAAATTCTCCTGGATTATTTCTGTGATTAGCTTTTGTAGTTCATTTGTTTGTGTCCCTACTTCTTCTTTTATGTTCTTAATTCTTAAGTTATAGATCCGGTTATCATCTTCTAGCCTTTGTATTATTGCTGTTTGTTTTCTTGTTATTTTTAAGAAATTTTTCCTTTCATGCTCCCACCTTACAAATCTGTCCTCCAGTTCTGATAATCTATCCTTAGTTTCTTTCAAGCTGTTATGCCAGCTTTCAATAGAGTTTTTATTTTTCTGGTAATCTCTTTGAACCTGCTTCATGTATTCTATGTTTTCTCTATTTTCTCCATCAAACAATTCTCCCCTTTTTTTCTGTTCTTCCATTCCACTATCTGTTTTTTCTTGGGCAGTGCTTAGCATTTCTCTAACTATTCTACTTATATCTTGCTTTATTTCATTAAATACTTCATTTTTGTACTCATCTATGAGGCTCCGGAGATACCGCTTTATGTCTATTGGTGCCATGTCTGATATTGCATGTTTTCTGTCTTCATTCTCTTTTGCATTTACCTTTCCTGGATCAGTGTTCTCAGGATTGGAGACTGAGGACCCTTTCTTGTTGCTCCCTCTTTGCATACTTTTTGTTCCTTCCATACAAGCGTATGTAGAAAGCCCAGGTTTTTTTTCTCTTTGTCTGTTACAGTTTGTTTGAATCTGCCAGCTAGGTGTTCCTGCCCACTGCAGTGTACTAGGGAGATGCAGACCTGGGCAGCCCGCCCCTCCAGATCAACCTAGTGAAGGCTTCACTGCTAGGGTGCACCGCCAGGCACAGGGACCTGGTTTGGGCTAGCCAACTGAATCTTAGTTTATGGCGTCACCAGGCCAAGTGCTCCCCACCAATCCTGCTTGAGAGGGGAATATGCGACTAAAGTCACTGCAGGGCCCTGTTCCAGCTAATCTGCTCATTCCCAGAATGTCCTTTGTTGGAGCCTCCTAGTCTATGAAAGGGTCCCTGTTTCTTTCACTCACCACAGGTCGATGCAGGGCTCACTGCCAGTCGCACTCTCAATGCTATTTGATTTGGCGATTCCCTCTCACAGAGCTTTTGCACATCTCTTTCCCTGCCATGCTGACTGGGATGCAGCAGCGGCAGCAGGAAAGCGGCTTCCAATGGCACGGGATCCAGCTTCAGCACTGAGATTTTATCTGTTCCTGTTATAGCATCAGGATTGCATTTCCAGTTGGTTTCTCTCAGCTTACTCTGTTCCTGGGTCGGCAGGGTACATCTCCCCTCACGTAGAACTCCTCACACGGCACCGCTCCTGGATTCTAAGCTGGTAATCTCAGAGAGCCTCCATGGCTACTGTTATTTGTCTGCCATATTCTCCTGAAAGTCCCGTGGTGTTGTATTTTTATAAAATCATTTTGATTTTTTAGTTATAAAAATCAGTATAGTTATTCTTAATTTGAAAATTATTATCTGTGTACTTCAACTTATTTATAGGTAATTTTTAATTTTTTCTTGATTGTTTAACAAAGAAAAGTAAACTGCTTTAGATATATGTCAATGTAAAATTTTAGGGAGGTTTGACTTGGATAACTGTATTGCTTAAGAGATTTTTTTTTTTTTAATTTTTCTGTTTCAAAATAGGTAGAAAATCCATTCGAAGAAGCCATTAAGTTCCTGACTCCTCTTAAGAACCTTGTTACTGGTAACAAGCATTTGAAATATATTTTAGAAAAGGTAATAGTTTTTTAGGTTCTTGACTTTTTGTTTCTGATTTGCTTTGAGAACAGCACCTGGGGTCAAATCAAGGGCTTCATGTGTGGTAGGCTCAACCTCTCAGCCCACTCTGCCTCAAGCTCAGTTTTTAATCCTTAATCATCTCGGTGATCTTTCTCACATCTATTTTTGTTTCTTAAGTTTCATTTCAGCCTTCACAAAGGCTCCTCGTGCCCTTTTCTTTTTTTTACAACATCGCTAAGTAATATATTAGAATATTGTAATCAAATCCAGATTGAAAAGTTTGAAAATTGAAAAATTGTTTATGTCTAATAATTTTACATGATTTTTCAAGCTTTTCTTTAGAAAACAAAAACTGTCTTTGATAATCCCAAATCAGCTTTGGATTTGGTTTATGAACATAAGATGATAAAATTTTGTTACTGAATGTTAAGTCAGGCTAAAAGAAAGTGAAAAAAAAATATTGATGCTATTATTTTTTTCTGCACTCTTGTATTTGAATGCTGTTATTTTTTTGACACAGAAAAATTTCTGTTAATGCTCCAGTCTATCAAACGAGGTTTTGCCATCAACAGGAATAATCCATGGTTACATGAATGTTTAGTTAGATTTTGTAAGTCTGGTAGGTATAAAATGGTATGTTTATGAAGAAGCAAACATAAGTGAATCTGAGCTGCCTTCATTTAACTGACCGTTAAAAGAGACAACAAAGTAAAGCAAAAAAAGTGGTGTTCACTGCATTTAAATGAAAATATTCTATAAAGTATTAGCTAAATGCTAGCAATTGAAGTTCAAATGTTGTTATTTTTGTAGTGTCCCGCCATAGTAGCCTCCCAGACATTCAAAGTTCTGTCTCAAGAAATGCAGAAAATACTTGCCAACAGGGATTTGGAAGGCTTTCATGAAGATTTTCTCAAACATAACATTACCTCTCTGCAGCATCTATTTTCAGGTTTGTATTTAGCTGCCACAGTTATAATGTTTATTAAAAACATTTGGAAATATATTCAGCCTGGCTGTTTGCCAGAGGAAAAAGAAATGACCTCAATGCTATTTTTTTTTCAAATTAAAGATTTTTAAAATTTGTCAAAATAAAATGTGCTGATGATGTGGCAGTCAAGCACTGTTTCACTTTGCTTCTTTGAGTCTAAATTGGCTCTGTCACTTAGAAAAACACCATGCCATTCTTTTTTTATTTTTATTTTTGATACTAGGAATGAAACAGGGCCTTATGCTTGCCAGGCAATTTGCCCAAACCTCAAAAACCTGTGTCTTTTGATTTAATAATCACAGTTTTGAAAATCAAAGAATTAATGTCAAGCAAAGAAAGAGCTTGGTACGGGAAAAGGGTGAGAACAGATGTAATGTATATGTAGTAACAGGAGGAACCAGTGGTACGTTGATAGGATGGGCTACCATGTAGTCGTTTAAAGTAGTGTTTACTCATACTGTTTGTAATAGTAGTAAAAGCTTTCACAATACAGACTGAAGGATTGAACACACAGTGTAATCTGAACTGTGTAAAACCGTGTTTGGATAAAAGCTAAAAAGGAAATATGTACCAGGCTTTAATGTTGCATTTGAGAATTGTAGTTATAATTAATTTTTCCTTGAATTTTTGTTGCTTGTGTATGTTTTCTGTCTTGAGGATTTATTTATATCTTATCTTCATAAGGGAAATATTTTAGGGAGTTCATATAAATTCATAAAATGACAGTATGGCATAAATTAAACTCAAAAATGATTATAAAAAAGAAAATAGAAGCAAAATGAAAAATGTGCATAGTGGCGCTCGCTTGTAATCCCAGCACATGGGAAACTGAGGCAGGAGATGCTCTCTTTGAGACCAGCCTGAACTGCATAGTGAAACTGTCTGAAAAAGGACAAAAAGAAGGGGCTGGGGACTTAGCTCAGTGGCATAAGCACCTGCCTTGCATGGGCCCCAGTATAAAAAAAAAATCATAGTTACCTCTATTTTAAGCCATAGATTTAAATATTTTAAAGAACCTTCCTTGTTAAAGATTAGCTTCTCATATCCAATATCTATAGAAAAAATATTACTTATGAAAAACTACTTTTCTTGGCAGGAGTAGATATGAATATCTCTTTAATAACAGGATAATAGAAAACTTTTTAAAGTAATTGTAGGAAATGCTTTTTTAAATGTATGAAATACTTTTTCATTGTTGTTTGGTCATTTTTTAAAGACAGAGTCTCACTATGTAGTTCCGGTTGGTCTTGAACTCACTGTGCAGCCTAGGCTGGCCTTGAACTCCGGGTGATTCTCTTTCCTCAGCCTCCCAAGGGCTTGGATTACCCACAGGCGCCACCATTACATGAAATTCTAAGGAAAAGAAAAATTTCAGGCATAAAAATTAAAATCAAAAGGCCAGTTGAAAAAAAATACTCAGACATGTAATTTGTCAAAAGCTAATATACGGGCCAAGGATATAGCTCAGTGGCACAGTGCCTGCCTGGCAAGTGGGAGGTCGGGACTTCAAGTCCCCAATACAGGAAAAAAAAAAGCTGGTATACAAAGACTTAATAAAATTTAATAGAAAAACAAATATAGAATATAAAACAATTTATATATAAATATAAACTTAATTATATTGAGAGAAAGTTAAAGTACTGTTTTCTGGTAAATGTTTAATAACCAGTTATTAAGGAAGACAACTCTGTTTTATGTTGTGTCATGATGGCAATATTTGTGTTGTGGCCACAAGCTATCAGGGAGGTGTCTGTATAGAAAGTTGAGAAGCATATGTTATCTACATGTATCAATTTCCCATAATTAAAAGAAATTGAGAAGAGATGTCACATTGAAAGCTGGTTAAAATCAACTCTAGCCCACCACTGATTAACACTTGAAACCATATTTTAAGACACTGGTCCATACAAATCACGTAAAGTATGAGTCATAGGAGTTTACTCATCCTGGATTGTCTTGGAATTTCAGGTGCTAAAATGATGTTTGTTTTTTTTTTTTTATTTAAAGAGGAAAAAAAAAAACCAAAGCAGTAAAAGGGTACAAGTAATACAGAATTTCAAGAAAAAAATATACAGTGAGAAATCACTAGTTAGTAGATTATATATTGTCATCTTAGAAACAGTTGTCCAAATTACAAAATTAAAGCATACAAAGTGAACATTCATACAGTGAAATTGCACACAGTTCTGTTCAAAGATCCAACAAAAACTCAGTAATATGGTTTTCTATTCTACACACTTAAATATACATGCAGTTATATCTTTTAGAACACTTCCTTTTCCTCTCTTTTTACAGTAACAATTACACTTTTTGGGTTTTATTACTCCCACAGTTCTTATGACTTGTCCAGAAAATACATCATTTCTCTTTAAAAGACAAGTCAAGACAAGAGAAAGCAGTTGCTCTAGCTACTAGGCTGGATGAAACTGAAAGTAATGTAAAAATGCACAGGTAGAGCTTTTCACAGGCGGAATGACCTAACAAAACGTGTGTCTTTGCAGTGTAATTCTTAGGTGAATCTCCACAGTTAGGTCTGGATACAGATCTGAGCTCCACCAATTGTTAGGTGTGTGGTTTTAGGCGAGTCGGTAGCCTTTACTCCCTCTTTTTGAAGATGAAGATGAGGCACTGTACAGCCCATCTCTCAGAGTCAGTGTAGGGCCGCCCCTGGGGACCCCTCCTGTCTCTCGGGAGCTATCCCCATTCCCCATTCCCCATGCCTGTTCTCCAGTAAGCTTTCCTGTAAAAAAGTCAATGTCTGAGCTATCGGGAATAACAAAGCATGAAGTAAATATGGGCTGTTACTTATAAAGGACACTTTATTTCTAGTGACTGTGATTTTAGAGGGTATTTTCAAATATTAGATTTTACTCTCCCCCACCTCACCCCTTGCCATTTTCACAACTTTGTAGAGTTGATTTTTACTTTTTTGAAGCAGTTTACTACCATGCATAGTAAAAAGTTATTTTAGACTGAGGTCTTGTTATCTTTTCTGGTTTAATTAATAAAATGCTTGTTTGAGTAAAGTGCATAATGAAAGCTTTTTCTCTAAATAATTTATATTTTCCCTTGCTTCATTAGTCCTTCATAAAGGTTTCTGAGGCACTGCTTGGGAGACTAGCGCTCAGCATGAAGAACCCAGGATGGCGTGCCATAACCGCTTCCTTTACATCTGCTTTTCTGCCTGCTGTGAGTGAGTCCACCGTCCTAGCACAGCACTGAACTACCCAGCTAACTCTGATGTATGGGCAAAGGAAACTTGGATCCTGCAGAAAGTTGACTCCTACAGAATCTCAACTGAATTTACTTCACAATGTCTTTGTACGGCGTGCATTTTAATATAGGTGTGAAATGAAATATTTGGATAGAATTTTTAAATGAAGCATCTTGTAAGTTTATTTTCTTTATGTGACTGTCAATTTACACAAACATCTGTTAAAGTGACTTTTTTATATGTGTACAGTGTTTTGTAAACTCTTAAATTATCAGCACTGTGTAGTTACTATTGCTTCTGTGTCATATTGAAGGTAATTTCTTTGTTAAGATAAGTATATATGTCCTACCAGTATCATTTTCTGTAGATCTCAGTTTCACAATCTGGTTTTTTTTTTGGGTACCAGGGATCAAACTCACGACCTCACACTTGCCAGGCAGGCACTTATGCCACTGAGCTAAATCCCCAGCCCCTCAGGATCTGTTTTGATCCCTTGTTTTACTGATTTGTTTTTTTCTTTTTTTTTTCCGTTTTTTAAAGTGTTAGCATTGGTTTAAAAAATAGAATTCCGCTTGGCAGACAGTGGTGGGATTTAAAGTTTAATTTGCTTTTTAATAACCCTGATTTTTCATCTCTTAGTATTTATTTTGTAATATCCATAAAAAATTATGCTTTATAGATGATTATGGTTACTCCATTGTATGTAGACCACTCAGGATGTGAAGATTGGTTTGCCTTTCAATCATGGAGGTTCACTGGTAGGTTTGTTGGGTATCATAAAGTAGACTTAAAATCCACTCAGGAGAATTAAATTTTCTTGCCTTGTTTTGCTTGTTAACAAGTAGTTTATCCTAAAAGCATGCTTTAAAGTATGTAACAGTACAGAAAACAGAAATCAAACAGTTACTCTTACAGCTATACATTAAATATATTTTTATGTTTCTCAGTAAATGAAAATTTAAACTATCATGAATTTAACCTTTAAGTCATAATATTGTCTAACAACTTTGGGTAGGTAGGTTTTTGTTGAATATTGTAAAGAACATTAATAATCACTTAGTATGTCTCAGAACTGTATAAATATGACTATAATGTTAATGTGTACCTTTAAACAAATATAAATGCAAAAGTAAAATTTAATTTAGAAAACATATTACCCTAATTGTCCTAGAGTCACTATTGCTGAGAAAGAAGAAAACTCACTGTGAAATGCCAACCTCGATGATACTATAATAAATTATTTTGTACACGATTACTTATTTGTGTGTTCATTATCACTCACACTATCAAAATCCCTTTTTAATATATTATTTGACAGGGTAGAAAATGATCTTAATCCTTATAAGTTTGTAAAAAAAATGCAATTCTCAGTAACCCCCTACCAAAGTATATTTTGGTGCCTAAGCAGCTGGGTGTCTTTTTCATGTTTTAATAATTTTGGAAGCAGTTGCTAATCTATCATGTAATATTTTGGCAAATAATTCTTCATTATTTTCAGCGGGATGCCATTTGTGTAAAAGATGCTACTTTGTCACAACGTGCAATTATGCTTTTAGCAGCAAACTGAAACTTTAGGGATCATTTACAGTGTTTCCTAGTTTGGGGTTAGATGCAGGTAAGGCTGAGGAGTTAGGTTTGAAATACACACTGGAAAATGTGGAAGGTGAGAAGGGGCAGGTGGTCTCACACTGCCAGCGGGTAGAGGTTATATATATTTTCCCTCACACCCCCATTTTACCTGGAGCATGAAATGAGCATTGTAAACCTGAGACACGGAAAGGATACATAAAGAGCAAAATAAAAGTTAGATACTAAAAAGTTGGGAGATCTTTTTCAGATAGGAAGGAGAATAAGAGATGGAGGAAGAGAGGGGAAAGAAAGGGAAAAGGAATTCAGGGCTGGGTTAGAGATACAGAGAAAAATATGACAATAGGACTGTAAACGGGAAGGAAAAAGACTTGGAGGGGTGAGTGGGAGGGGCTGACAAGATGGGTTACGTACAAGTACAATCACCGCATGATAAGTATAATCATTATGTACTATGAACATGTACTTTGAAAACAAACAGGGACACGGGCAGGGTCTGTGGTCTCCTTCCAAGCTCTACACCCATCCTGGGAAAGGCCTTTTTTTTCAGGAGATATAAAGTAAAATGAGGTTAAACCAAAAGGAGACTTCTGAAAACCAGATTCTTAAGAGTTATGTGTCTAGTCTCAAACCACAAGTCCTCTTTGGATGATCCAGCCGAGTTTATCAGAACAGACAGGAAAAGACTTTAGGATTCAAGGCATGTTGTGATCATTTAAGAACTTGGTCTCATATTTTTTGTGATTTGTTTCTTGCGGAATTGATTGAACTTGGTTATAAATATAGAATGTAAAGAACTGTGCTTTTCAGGATCGCTTTGACTTTGGGGAAGAGCCAGAAGTCCCAGGCTGCTAGATCTGGTGACTATTAGCGGGTGAGGACACTGCACTCCACAGTAACATTCCCTGTACTTTGGGGAGGCAGTTGAGACAGGGTCTGACCACATAGTCCCGATTGGCTTTGACTCACTATTACCCCAGGCTGGCCTCGAACTTGCCCCATTTCTCCCAAATGCTGGGATAACAGGCATGTGCCACCACCCCTGGCCGACATTCACTGGACTTTTGATTGTGCAGGTAAAGACACTCATGAAAAAGGACTTCCTGCACTACTTCAGAAATTGGCCAGAAGGATGGGATGGGTGCAGTCTGTTCAAAATCAGGGGGAGGGGCTCGAAGGCAATGTATTTTTACTGTAATAAACTTTATTTAAATACATGGTTTCTGATTAGCTCTTGTATTGGAACAAAGATCGAAGTTTTTCGGTAAGGGACCAGGGAATAAATACTTTAAGATACGAAAGCTCATAACTGGTCTCTGTCACAGGACAACTCTGATGTAGTATGAAACTAGTCACAGCCATGAGCTAAGCCAAAGGGTGTGATTATTTGCCCAAAAAAGTTGTTTGCGTAAATAAACCTTGGGCTAGATTTGACCTTCAAGTCATACTATTTTATGAACACATGCTTAAAGACCATGTATAAATGTGGAATATTAGAGATACTTTTGAATTCCATTTTTTGCTACTCAAAGTGAGGGTGAATTTTATGTATATTTAAGTCCAAAAACCTTGAAACTTTATGTGAGCTAAAAGAACTATTTTATTAGGCATTGTTATTTTCTTATTTTATTTTACTGCTATTTTTCATCTAACAAAGCATCTTCCACATGATACTTTTGTGTATGTTAACGATTGGAGATATTTCATTGAGTATATTTTACATACCAAGCAGTTTCCTGTAGGTCAAGGATAATGTCCAAAAAATCTAACAAAATCACGGGGATTGCACACATTATTAAATTAATGGAAAAAGAATCATTCAGCATGTGTTTGCTAGGCACATATTATACTCTCTGGCTATGATACATACAATAACGAACAAAATTTAATTCTCATACATTATGTTCTAATTGGGGGAGAGAAGGAAAAAAGAATGTCAGGCAATTGCTGTGAAGAAAAATCAGAATACATAGTGGTTATAGTGAAACTTAATATCGGGAGAAATCTAAAAGCTTACAAAGAAAAAGATTCTCAAAGAATCAGGAACATAGTGTTCTTCAAAAGCATTGTTGAATGTACAAAACTAAGTATTCAAGAAAACTGAGTGTAAAATTATCATCAGATAAGCATTAGAATGTGATAGCATGTTAACAATACGTACATAAATCTCAGAAAACTGGCCATACAGAGATCTACACAATTTACTTTTGGAACAATATTAAAGAGACAGAAAAGAAGTCTGAGGAAGGGTGGTCAGTTTTCTTAAGTTTGTTTTTATCACAGAGAAACTGTAATAAACCTGGGCATTATCATAACTGGAGCTAGAGATGTAGACTTCTGATGCGAGGGCATAGTGACGGTGCTTTTTCCTAAAGACGATGTCGAAACGAATGGCTACCCAATCAGACTTGGATTCTTAGATTGGGTCAAGATTGTTTTTAAGAGAAACACTTGAAAATAAAAACTGAAGCAAGGTGAACTCATTGTTAGCTCAGGCTGGTGTTAAACTCATGATGATCCGCCTGCTTCAGCCTCCTGAATGCTGGGCTTAGAGACTAACAAGTATCTTTCAACTCATTTGCCCATTTATTGATTGGGCTATTTGACTTTTTGATGCTAAGTTTTTTGAATTAATGTATTTTAGATGTTAATCCTCTGTCAGAAGGGTATTTGGTAAAGATTGCACCCATTCTGTAGGCCATGGTAGTTTCCTTGGCTATGAAAAAGTTTAATTTGATGTAGTTTTAATTGTTGATCCTTGATATTATTTCCTGTGTTACTGTAGTCCTAGTCAGGAAATCATTACTTTTGTCCAGGGCCTCTGGTATCCGCCCTATGTTTTCTTTCAACAATTTCAGTTTCTGGTCTATAACTAGGTATTTGATCTGTTTTGATCTAATATTTTTGTGGCGAGAGAGGGACTTAGTTTCACTTTTCCACAAGTGAATATCCAGTCTTTTATTTATTTATTTGGTACCAGGGATGAAACTCACGACCGCATGCTTGCAAGGCAGGCACTTACGCTGCTGAGCTAAATCCCTGCCCAATAGCCAGTCTTTCAAGCATCATTTGTTAAAAGAGGCTGTCTTCTTTTTTGTTTATTTGTTTTGTTTTGTTTGTTTTTGATATGAGATCTTGCTACACAGATTAGGCTGACTTCAGACTCACTATGCATCCCTGGCTGACGTCAAACTCAGGGTGATCCTCATGCCTCAGCCTCCCAAACGCTGGAATTACAGGCATATACCACCCGGCCTGCTGAAGAGGCTTTTATCCAGCGTGGATGCTGGCTCTTTTGGCCAGGCTTCGATGAGCAGGTGTGTGGGTTTGCTTCTGTGTCTTGTGTTCCTTTGCTCTTTGTGTCTCTGTTTTGTGCCAGCACCATGCTGCATTTGTTACTATGACTTTGTAATGTAATTTGACATTTTTATGTCTGCAGTATCACTTGTTGGCTGAGGATTGATTTGGTTTTTGAGTCTTTAGTGTTTCCATATGTGTTTTAAGGGTTTTGTTTTTGCTTTTGTTTTCTGGTTCTGTGAAGAGTATCATTGGTATTTTGATGGGGAATGTATGAATCTGTAGATCATGTCTGGTAATATGATCTTTTTGACAGTACTAACTCAGGAACACAGGAGCCCTTGCCAACTTCTTTTTTTTTTTTTTTGTCTTTTTCCTTTTTTTATCGGTATCGGGGATCGAACTCACGACTGCCTGCTTGCAAGGCAGGCGCTTATGCCACTGAGCTAAATCCCCAGCCCCCTCCTTTCCAGTTTCTTGCTTCAGCTGGGCATAGTGGCACATGCTTATAATCCCAGCACTCAGGAAGCTGAGGCAGGAAGATTGCCCTGAGTCTGAGGCCAGCTTGAGCTGTTTCGTGAGTTCAAACCCTTATACTACAAAGTGAGATCCTGTCTCAAAACGAAACAAAAAACTAAAACGACCCCAAACAAAAAAAAAATTGTTTTGAACTGTCCTGGTTAGCTCATCCAGTTTTTTTTAAACCTATTTGCCTGAAATTCAACATGGGTTTATAGAGATCTCTGTGAACTTTTATTTCCTTTTTGAACTCATCTATTTTCTTCATCCCTTCTATGAACTTTTCATAGATTTCTGCTACCTGCCTTGAACTCAGCAAATTATAGACTGAAACTTCCACAAACTGACAAAAATAAGCTTTCCTTCATTAACTTTGGATTCTGAATAGTTTGTTATAGCAATAAAAGAAAAGTGACCAATAAGTAGGGCCCCTTTAAGTGTCTTCTGCAATTCCAGCTTAGTGGTTATGAATTTCTTTGGCTTGTGCTTACCTTGGAAGATCTTTATTTCTCCTTCAGTTCTGAAACATAGCTTTGCTGCATGTGATCATCTAGGTTGGCAGTTATTTTCTTCCAGGGTTTGAAATACATCCTCCCATGCCCCACTAGCCTTTAGGGTTTTGGCAGAGAAGGCTATCAAGTTTTTCTCACAGGTTTCCTTGTATAAATTGCTTCCTTACAGTTTTCAATAATTTTTCTTGTTCTGTGCTCTTGCCATTTTAACTATAGTGTGATATAAGTAGGTTTTCTTCTGGTTGTACTTGTTTGGAGTTTTAAATCCTCTTGTACTTGAGCAGTTTTACTAACATTTGGGAAGTTTTCTTTTATTATCTCATTAAATACGTTTTTG